TGCCTTTTTTTTTACACACACTTGTGGTACAGCAACAGCCAAAGAAGGGTAGAAAAGTGTTTTTTAACTGGGCGCACATGAATTGGGTTGGAGTCTCCTCTCTCCCCTCTGAGGCAGCCAAGGCTGGACTCACAGCACCCCCAGTGGCAAGGAAGAGTCATTGCAAGCTTGGGGAGATGCAGATACATTACCAGACTGCTGCTCCAATTTTTTTTTGAAAGAGTTGTGCTAATGCCATAGTCCCATGCACAACAGCAGCGGATAGAAAAGCCTGTGATAGCCATCCCACCAAAGTTAGGCCTACCCAGGGGGCACTGGCCACGGGGCAACTGCCCCCCTTTGCCCTGTGGGTAGTAAGCTATTGTCCCCTCCTCAGAGCCATTGCTCTACTCAGATTTGCAGATTCCATAGTTTTCAACCATTTTTAAGAAGTCATTGGGAGATGTTCTCTACACGTCTCAGCTGTCATTTGTCCTTTATTTATTTGTTCTTGGTTTTTTACCCAGCTTTTCAGATCCCCCCCACACCTGGCGTCCAAAGTACAGCATTTACAAGTATAAATATTATTTATAATATTTATGTTGCTTCTCTGACAAGACACCCAATTCATCTTTTAAAGATCACATTTGGCTTTTAATAATTGCCGATGCTATGTTAATCATGTTATTGTATTTTATTATATTGTTGTAACCCGCCCTGAGCCTTGTGACGCTGGAGAAAGCTGGATAGAAATAAAATAAATAAAAAGAGTTCAAACCAATGCAAAGTCAAATGTGACTTTTTAAAAAAAAACACCTCTATTTTAAAAATAACAACCATCACAATGACCAGAACAGAAAAATCCCCATTTAAATGGCAACCAATTAAATGGCATCAATAACCATTATTAAGAATGATCTCACAAAACGCTGTCCAAACAGCAAGTGCACAAAGCAATTTTAAAAAAGGTTTTCAAAGCACTCACTCTTCACAGCAGTTAATAAACCACAATTGTTTCAGGAAGCCATCAAAGGAAAATATCTAAACCTCAGCAAAAACTTTTTTGAAATGATAATGTCTTCAACAGCTGGCAAACTCCCCCCATCTTTTTACATGCCTCACTTTCCCAGTGATCCCCACACACAGAGAGCCCCACCTTGCTTAGGGGACATACGACAGGGCGGTTTGCAAGCAGAGGGAGGGAGTGGATCTCTCACAAGCCATGGCAGAGCCCAGGTATCTGCGCCGGCAGGTTTATCTGGACTCTCTGGCCCAGCTGCTTCCTCCAGAGACAGGAGCATTCCGCAGCCGACAGCTCAAGCTATAAAAAGAGGCCGGGGAAGATTGTGAAGCAGAATACAAAAATTTGAAAGGCGGGACCCAAATCTGGGTGTATGCTGAGTAGGGTTGTCAGTGTCCAGATGGGGCCTGGAGTTCTCTGAGAATTACAGCTAATAGCTAGACTACAGGAATCAGTTCCCCTGGAGGAAATGGCAACTTTGGAGGTTGGAGTCTAATGAGTCCCCTCCCCAAACTCCACTCTCCCTGGCTCCACCCCCAAATCTCCAGGAATTTCCCATCCGGGAGCTGGCAACCCTACGTTGCTGAGGGGGAAGAGGGATGGAGACATGTTCTTTTGACCTACCTGAAAAAATGTAGTTAGACTAAACTTCCATAGCCCCATAGCTATCTGGTCAACCCAGCAAGGTTCCTTTCTCAGGAGTCTTCCACACAAGTTATTTGCCTTAGGTTTGATACCCACCCACTTCCCACATCACCCAGCGTTTCCCTGGCTTTCTTCTGATCTTTTTGAAACCTGCTGTGCTCCAAGTTTTGGGAAAGTTCACAGCAAAACCTGGATGGCCCTGGAAGGGATGGGAAGGTTTGGGTTTTTCCGGTCCTTTCCAAAGGGCTTCCAGGTAACCCTGGCAGGGGGCAGGGGGACTTACCGGCAGTGGGAGAGCCCTACACCAGCATCTCAATAATGTGACTTCTGGTGCATAATGGAAGTGATGTCATCATCTCACCAGCGATGTGAGGATGCTCTAGTATTTGGGCAAAAACTCAGTGGTAGAAGCAATTTTTACCATAGAGGATTTGCCCAAATTCCACAGCATCCACACATCACTGGTGATGTGGTGACGTCACCTCCGGTGCACACTCAAAGTGGCATTGCTAGCGACGACACTGAGATACTGATGTAGGCCTCCCTTGCTGTTGATGTCCTCTTGCCAGCCAGCTGAATGGGTGGGTGCCTTCCACACAGCAGCCATTTTTTCCAATTGAATATTGATATATTTTAGTCTTGCAGTATGGCTCTTTCCTGGGTTGCCTGCTGCTGCTTTGTAGTGGCAGGGGAAAAATGGGAAAAATACATGACATTCCAAAAATAACAACATTTTTCAAAATCCTAGAATGTCATGGTGACCCTATGATGTCCCTTTCGAGTTTGCGGCATCACACCACCATGTATTTACATGTCTTTACCCAGTCCACCTCCTGCCAGTTGCCAGTAGTTGGCTGGCAATCCTATCTCACAGGAAGCTTCAGAATGAATTTGGTAGACAGGCAAAAAATAGGTGAGAATTGTTTCAGTGTTCTCACTTGCCTCCCTCTCTCAGTCATTGTTTTGTAAGCAGACTAGGACAGTTCCTTCCATAAGCTCTGGAAAGAATATGTTCCTGCTGTGCTGTCTTTTATTAACTGTACCTTTGAATTGCTGTGCCTCTGTATTCATTGTTTTTATGCATTTGTTTTTAAGTTTGCAGCATATACCACTCTGGGACTGTTTATTGAACACTGGCTTATAACATCCATAAATAAACAGAATAAAATATTCAAGCTGGAACAAAGGATAGTGTAAACTGGAAGGGGACAGTCATGTTTAAAAATTTACTACATATGCATACATGGTTGAGGGCACATCTGCACTGCTAACTATGGGGGATGGGGGGGACTTACCAGTAGAAAGAAAAAGGCCTAGGCCACTAGGCTTGCCAAGTCCTCCCGGGGGGTGGGGAACCCCCCGCCCCAGAGGCCCGTTCCCCGCCGCCGGCGGATCGGGCCCTGAGGGGATCCCCACCCCCAAAGTACGTGACGTGCACGTCACCCGGAAGTGATGGGACCACGGCGGGCACGTTGGGGGCGGGGCCACGGTCATCCGAGGGAAAACTCTATGGAGCGAGCCGGGAGTCCCCCGCTGCAGCAACAGGTAGGACTTGGCAACCCTATAGGCCACATTGCTGGCGTCTCACAGGAAGTGACATCATCATGACTTCTGAGCAGTGCTCTGTTATTTGGGCAAAAACTTACACCCCCAGAGCAGGCGGTGAGTACCGAAAGGCCCGGTACTGTCCCCGAGTCAGGGCAGAACCCTGTGTGCGGGGCTGAAATCCCAGTCGAGTCTGTGCCTGATCCAGGCTGTAGTGAACCCCACTCTGACCCACAACCTTGTCTGCCCGTGGTGCCTGCACCGCTCCGCAGGTCCCAGCGTTCGCGGCAAATGCCGACTTATCTGAAGGACTATGAGTGTAAATACTGTTGGAATAACTGATGTACAAAGGTTGATTGCATGTTTGTAAATAATAAAACAATTGGGATGATGGCTTAACTTAGGGGGGAGGAATTGTAATGTATTGAAATGATTACATGAATCACCTCATAGGACTCCCGTGTTAAGCTTCGAGCCAGACCAGGGCTCCTCTGAGCGAACTTCCTATTGGTCGCTTCGTAACAGCGACCAATCAGAACGGTACCATTCCCTAGGAGGGAAAGACTCCCATTGGTCTTTATTCTAGCAATCTCATTGGTTGTTATTTGTAAATAGGCGTGGCTACATTAGCCCGGTTATGTTTAAAAGGAGCATAAGCTCCCACTGTTTTCTGTTCTGGTTTCTTACTGAGTTAGTGCTTGCTCGTTACTTCCAATAAAGCTGAATCACTTGCTGAATCACTGTACGAGTCCTTTGTTAGCGCGATCTAACAGTTATGCTAATGAGTTCCCCTAGCTCTTTTTCTACGAAATGACCCCTGGTTTTGGCCCAAATAACAGAGCATCAACCAGAAGGTGCTGGAGTGATAACGTCACTTTTGGGCAATGTGGCCTAGGCCTTCTTCTTTCTACTGCTAAGTTCCCCTGCTGGCCAGCTGATTGGAGGCTGGGGGGCAGATGGCCTGGCAGAGGAGGACCTCCACCTCCACCAGGGGGTCTGGCAACCCTACTGAAAACAGAAACTGGCTTCTCCTTTGTCCCTGATGTGCAGTGGAAACTGTTTTTAATGAAAACTTTGCAACAACAGGAAATAGATTAGCCGGTCCCCCCAGCCACTGGCGTGGGATGGGGTAGGGAGATAGGGTTGCCATCTCCATGCTAGGAAACTCCTGGAGATTTGGGGGTGGAGCCTGAGGAGGACAGGGACCCCACTGGGGTCCAATGCCATAGAATCCACCCTCCAAAGCTTCCATTTTCTCCAGGGGAAGGGATCCCTGTAGTCTGGAGATGAGTTTTAATTCCAGGAAATCCCCAGGTCCCACCTGGAGGCTGGCATCCCTGGCAGGAAAGTAAAAATATAGATAGCAGTCTGTTGTGTCCTCGGTATTACATTGATACTAACTACCCCTATTTACCAGGTAGAGTCCCTAGTTTTTATCTAGCAAATCATTATCCCAAATGTTGCCTTTGGGGAATTATTAAAGCTGTTTTAGTGTGGCTTGCTAGCATCATCCTTCTTGATAGATCACCCCTCCCTTGACCTCACAGCATTTAGGCACCTCCAAAAGTTCAGGAGAAACGATCTTGGTTGTCTGGAGATCAGTTGTAATAGCAGGAGATCTCCAGGCGCCACCTGAAGGTTGGCAACCCTATGCGGAGATCAGTTGCCGTTCGGGGATATCTCCAGACCCCATCTGGCAGTTGGCAACCCTATGCCTTACTTGTCCAAGACTCCTAATTCTTGGACTTCCGTTTCTGTGCCCAAGGACAGCCTCGTCATGTATTTTCACCCTCTCCTTCTGTCTCCTCAGGTTCGCCAGCAAGGGTGCTGGAGGTCCGGCCAAGGATTACTGCCGTGCTTGGCAAAGATGTGGTACTACCTTGCTCCTACCAGGCCGCGGAGGGTGACGTGGTGTTCCAGGTGACGTGGCTGAAGCGTGGAGACGACGGGCAGAGTGTGGAGCTGGCTGTTCTGCATTCGGAGCATGGGGAACACATCCAGGGTGCCTACGCAGGGCGAGTGTCTTGGCAGTCACAAGGGTCCCTGAAGAACGGCTCCATCCTGCTGAGGAACGCGGTGCAGGCCGACGAGGGGAACTACGAATGCCACCTCATCACCTTCCCGCGGGGCAACTTTGAGTCCCACGTCACCCTCAAGGTCCTAGGTAAAGGCATCTGGGAAGCCCTCAAAGTGAGGCCTAGCTCTCCATGAGATGGAAGCCCTCAAAGTGAGGCCTATCTCTCCATGAAATGGAAGCCCTCAAAGTGAGGCCTAGCTCTCCATGAGATGGACATCCTGTTCCCCAAGAACCCTGATTTGGATCAGGACTGTGGCCTACAGGGAGGAGGGGGTTCAGTTTTTGCCCCTGCGCTGTTTACCTGACCTAAAATGGCCCCTGGGAGGAGCTATTCGTCCCATTGGGAGGCAGTGCGTGCACTTTTGGACAACTCATATAGCCCCACAATGGAGCAGTGGAGCCAGTTGGATGTAGTGGTTAAGAGCACGGACTGTAATCTGGGAGAACTGGGTTTGATGCCCCACTCCTCCACATGCAGCTGCTGGTGTGACCTTGGGTCCATCACAATTTCTCTCAGAGCTGTTCTCTCAAGAGCAGTCCTCGAAAGAACTCTCTCAGCCCCACCTACCTCACAGGGTGTCTTTTGTGGGGAGGGGAAGGGAAAGGAGATTGTAAGCCATTCTGGGACTCCAAGTGAAGGGCAGGGTATAAATCCAATCGTCTCCTCCTCCTCCTTCAAATAGCGCCAATGTGGGTTGGTGAAATGGTGCAGGGGGAAAGCTGAAGCCCTTTCTCCTCCCATACACCATGGTCCCAATCCAAATCAGGGCCCCACAATTGATACAGGGACTCGGGGTTGAAACAGCAAGGTGAGAAATTTGAAATCAACCCTCCCACACACAGGTGGGCTGTGTTTGGTCTGATCCAATATTGGCTTCTCTTATGTTCTTAACAGTCTGGCAGGCCTTTCCCATTCATAGGACTGGGGCAAGGAGAATGTCACTCATCCCAGACATCCTTTCTAGTCAGAGTTGCCTAATCTTGTTGTGTGGGAAATCTGTAACTGGATTTCCTGGCATTTTTTTTCTAACACACGGAAGTTTCCCCATGGTTTAGGTTCTGACCTGCAGCAGTTTTTCTCCAGACTTGCTCACTTTTCCATTTGTTCTTAAACCTGATCTGAGAAAGCGCAAACCATTTCTGCAGTAGTGAAATTCCCCCGCATTGACATTTTAAAAACTGCACACTATGTGAAATTTTCCACAGTAGGTTGTTCCTCACCAGTCACAAACCCGAATGTTTCTCCTTCTTACCCCATGTTTTCTGAACTCGCTAAAACTGGGGATTCCAAAAACTGGGGATTCAGTAAAACTGGGGATTCCAAAAACGTGGTGCAAGAACGAGAAAACTTCGGGTTTGTGCCCAGTAAGGAAAAATTTCCCATAATACGCAGTTTTAAAAATGTCAGTGCAGGGAATTCACTACTGCGGAAATGGTCACAGAGAAATATTGAGGAAAGCACAGAAAGACAACAAATGGAAAAAACGTGAGAGGAAGCTCAAAGGAAAACCTCTGTAGTTTGGCCCCCGAACCTCAGGAAAGCCTTGTGAAAAGAGCAATGTTCTGTTGTGACCACAGATTGCCACAAAGAACCCATGGTGGATTGCTAAACCAAAATGGCCCAGGAAAAGGGCCTCACCATGCTCTCCTCATGGAAGCAGGACTGGCAGGTGGCAGCTGTGGGCGCCCAGGGCTGCTGCTTGCTAGCTAAGCTGTCCTTTCCTCATGCAAGGCTGTCTTGGACAAGATGAGAAGAGTCTCAACTTGCCTGGGGCTACTTCACGCATGACAAGACTCCCCTTGCCTGCAGCTCTGATAGAGGGTAGGCCTCAGGCCATCATCCCACCGGGACTTTTCCCAGTGGCCCTAAGAGAAGCAAGATGGGGGAAACGCCAAGCCCCATTTCCACAGTGCTATTGTCGAAATCTAAGTTAGGCCCATGTGCAACTGAGGAGGACAGAACTCTTAGCTCATATGTAGGGTTGCCATTCTCCAGGTGGCGGCTGGCAAACTCCTGGGATAACAACTGCTCTCCAGGGGACAAAGATCAAACAGATCTCTGGAGAAAACGGCCACTTTGGAAGGTGGACTCTATGGCAGGGACGGCCAAACTTGCTTAACGTAAGAGCCACCTAGAAGAAACATCACATGTCCAAGAGCCACAAGACATGAACAAATATTACATGAATGTTTTAATCGGAAAATATGCAAATTTGCTTTTCATTAACATTAAATAAAACTGCCAGAAATAAAAACAAAAGGAGTAAAAACAGATATTGATAATGATATTTAAAGAGACAAATGCTGTCTCCAAGCCGACGGGGGGCGGCGGGGGGCTTTGAGAACCCTATTAAAGTTGCTTTCTTTCTCTGCTACCCCTCCCCCACACACACACCTCGACCCTACCCAGGGAGGGAAACACTGGCTTGGGAAGGGAAGACCGGTCGGGGAGACACACCTCCCCTTCGCTTCCCCAGCTGCCCTGCCGGGAGCCGCACAATATGTGTGCAAGAGCTGCACATGGCTCCCGAGCCCCTTCCCTAGACAGTCAAGGATGTTACGTGTAGACAAATTCAGTGTTTAGACTTTATTGTGATCTTATTGGAAGCCGAGTGCCTTGTCAGGCCAGAGAGAGGCTTGAGAGTGAGTTAGCATATTATTATTACGGTCTTAGGAGCTGCGGTGGCTCAAGTGGTTAAGACGCTGAACTGCAGGCTGTGGAAGGTCGGTAGTTCAGCAGTTCGAGACCCGGGTGCCGCATGACGGAGTGAGCTCCCGTCTCTAGTTCCAGCTCCTGCCAACCTAGCAGTTCAAAAGCAAGAAATTGCAAGTAGATCAATAGGCACCACTTCGGTGGGAAGGGAACAGTGTTCCGTGCGCCTCGGTGTTTAGTCATGCCGG